AAAAAAAAAAAAAAAAAAAAAAAAAAAAAAAAAGATTTGAGCACCGTTTTAAAACGGTATGATTAATTTTGTAGAAGGGATAATATAAGACAAAAATAATAATGATTACGAAAATTATTCGATCTTGTTTTTAAAACTAATTTTGCTTCTTATAACATATGGTAAGTTGTGAGGAACAGAGCAAAGAAAAAACAAACTCAAAATACATTTGTTAAAAAAAAAAAAAGTAAAAATTTAGTCGGTTTTGTCTAAATGCTAAAACTGCAGTAAAACAGATAAACAATTATAACTTGATGAAAAAAAAGATAATAATTAGAAATCGACCGTAACTACGTAAATCAGCAGTTTTTTGCAGAATAATAATGCAAAAAGTTGATTCACACAGCAAATAAATAAGCGAATAAAAGTTCTTTTTCGTGGAGAACAGAAAAAAATAAAACTGTTGACGTAAATTCTGCCAATAATTCTAACTAATTTGTAAATATTATGCTAAATAAGTAGATCCTTTTCCACAGTCTGTCTGTATCAAATTGCAATTGCTATTTTTTATTACTGCGTGTACTATCTCAACTGTAAATCCAAATTGAGGTCAGAAGAATTTTAATTTACAAGATTTCTTAGTTCTGCTAGCTAAACAAAACTTTCAGAAGTTTAAAACACCTCCAAAAGTACGCATTAGTTTGCCTAAAAAATGTGTTTTAGGCATTAAAAAAAATCAGTCAAAACAAAACTAATCGCTAATTGGTATCATTTAATTGCCTAAGTGTAAGGCTCCACAATAATGGTAGTAGTAGTCAGTATGCGATCTGAGATGATATTATCAACAGCAAACTGGTTATATATGTGATTCTGGCTTTTTTTTATTTTTGCTTAAATTTTTTAGCATTAAAATTCAGAATTGGAGTCATTTCGTATATGTAACTGTAAAAAGTGACTGTTTTATAACAAAAAGAAAGGTAAAGTATACACTATTATTTAAAATTTCTACTAATTTTTTATCGAACTTATTAAAGATTGTTCAGTTATTCTTTCTTTTTATTCTTTAAAACCATTCTTGTTTAGGTCTTTATTCAATTTCTAGTCATTGTTGAATAAATATTGTTTTTGATTTATAGAATAACTGCACTCGTTGGCTATTACAGTTTGCTTCGATGTATTTGGTAACATCTTAAAGGTGACTTTTGACTGATAGAGATAAAGGGCTTTTGCGTAAATTACGCTATTTTTCTCCTTCCAAAATGCTTTTTTCGGGAAGTTTAAAAAATAAATAAAATTTTTGTGCATCTTGAATATCAGAAAAAGTCAAGATATCCCATACTTTCGTACATAAACTTTTTATTTTTATCGTATTCAAACGACAAAAAAAAAAAAAGCAACAACAAATCGCCACGTACTAAAATTGCTTATAAAAAGCTTTTACTGACTACCATAGTATCAGATAGATAAAAACAGAACTTTTTTATAAAAAAGTAAAAGACATTCATTTTACAGCGATTAAGCTGAAAAGAAAAAAATTCTGTGTAAAAAGTTGATTACAGCAAAAACTCAATAAACTGGTCTTAAAAATAATTATTATTACAGTCGACAATGAAGGAAACAACAAATCAACATACTTGATATCAAAAGACACACTTATTTTTTTTTTGCATCATGTGTATAATATTTATTGTTTAGTCGAAAACTTTGCACACTTTTAAAAACTTTTAGTAAACAAGTCTTTAGGAAAACATAGAAAATTTTTTTCTTACATTTTTTTTTCGACAGTTTTTGCTCCCACTAAATAAATACTGACAAATCTGATGATTTAGAAACTAAAAAAACGTATTCAAAAAAGTAACTGAAAGAGTATTTACTACAATGTCGTAATTGTCGTTGTTGTTATTCGCGAGGACAACATCGACGACGCTGACGGTAACGGACAGCAGTTGCAAGTAAAAGTTGCTGTCCGAATAATACTAAGTTTTTGAGTAATTAGTTAGATGTTGCGGTTATGTTAAGACAAATTTAGAAGAAAATATTATTAATATTAAGCTTGCTCTTTTTTCAAATTAGAAAAAAATGAACGACGTTTGCTATTGACGGAAAGTCAAAAGTAGTTGAGCTTTTCTTGTTTGCAGTTCCCACGTAGAGAGTCGATACATACAGATATTTCTCATCGAGGATATAGATTAGGGTAATTTAGATACTAGATACTTCTAATAAGTAATTTAGATACCATATATTGTAACAGCTTCAACTAATCATATGTTCTACCTTTAAAACTGCAAATCTGTCATCTGCAGGATACCTTCCATTCCAGTGTACCTCAGTTAAACTGTGCTGTTTTTTGACATAAAATTGTAAAAGAGTGTGATTTTGTTTAGTAAACACAGCTATTTTCAAAAATAGAAACAGCTAAAAACCAAAACTTCATTCATTAGAAAAAGTAATCTAACTGAGTGAAGCGAAGTTGCGGTGTAGTGGTATGTCTTAAAGATCTAAATGACTTCCAATCCGATATTGTCAAAGTATGGCGCCACGAACACCAAACAGTTTGAGAAGCCAATCTGGCCCTTCTAAAGTTATTTGATCAGAACTATAACTGTAATTTGAAAACCTGTGTATTTCTGCAGATTTCTGTAAAGTAATCGCTTTTTCCGACAGCAAAGGTGATCAGCTTAGTTACGCAGGCTTTTCTTACCACATTTTAATGCTTTATTGTTTAGGTTTTCTGTGGAGGTGACGTAAATCTGACTGGTTTTTACCAACATATAAATTTGAAACTTTGACCATTTTTCCAAAAAAATCATAAAATATTGGTTAAAAACTTAATTTTTAAGAAGTCTAGTATACCAACAAAAGTAAGCCTATAGTTTATTGATACTCTGGGAGAAATAAGACAGAAACAGTTTTGACGTGTTTGTAACTTTCACCATTAGTATTTCATCATAAAATAATTATAGGGTATTTGAAGTCCAGTCCAGCTCACCGTTCGTCAGTTTTTTGCATGTTACTCTTCCACGAGAAAATCTTTATTACTGGCTGAAAAAACCAGTCATACATGTATATTTTGTGACACCAGATAAAATAAAAAAATTGAAAGGAAATAAAATAAAAACTGTGCATTTCCAGTGCTGTTAAGTACGTGCTGAAAATACGCATTACAAAGATCGTAAATCACTTTGAATCATTATCAGTTTTTCCATTCTTTTTTCATACACGGTTACCAATTTTAACTAACTCAAGCATTTGCTAATAATTTCTCATTATCCAGTATTTTGCAGAGTAAAATATACTGTTTTCTTGATACGCGAGTCAAGCAAAAACTTGTACTATCCGAGCACTCGCACTTATCTTTATCAATCATGTTGACTGCAAGCATATCGGCGGGTCTGTAAGCCGTTTCGAATTACTTAATTTTAACCTCCTTCTTAACTGCTATCTTTCTTTAGATAAAACAAAAACCCTACACAACTAATTTCATAATCAGCCAGATCGCTAGCATCCAATTCAAGCAACTAATAGCTCAACAATGCATCGGACTCTGATGCTTTTTAATTCCGCGTGCAGTTCATAAACCTGCCAGTAGCGCTTCTTTGACTTGTTTTGTGTGTCAAAGCCTCCTTTATTCAATCCTCAATATTTCTAAAATTCGTTTAAAGTACATAATGAATTCACACTAGCAGAATTGCCTATTTTTCGGTGACGTAATTTTAAAGATTAGCAGAAACTAAAACACACACACTTTAAGTCTAATAACAGCAGAAGATTATAATGTTTAAAAAAAAGCCACACAACTATTTAATTTACCATAACTAATTAAATAGTGCGTTAAGTCGGGAACAACTTATAAAGAATGTAGGAAACTGTTAGTGTATAGCTGGTGTCTTGAGGCAAAACCAATTTTAAAATCTCCAAAATTTCCTGCGAATCTTGACGTTTTATCATCAGTTAGGTCTGCAAAGTCGTCATTCATTTGAAGAACACAGCAATCGTCCAGTTTAGCTGTTAAAAATAGCGTT